TCATTTTAAAGAAAATAAACATCCCTTTTATTGAACACGGCATATCCAATGATAGCATTCTTGAATTGTCTAGAATCTTCAAAAAGCATTTCCAATTCAATAAGAGGGGGCTCTGAGTCTGGATTATATGAAGAATACCTTATCTTATTTGAATCTTTAGATTGGTCATCATCTACCTCTTCCTCATTAGTGTAGCTTGGAGGATTGGATGAATATACTCCACATTGTCTTCTTCCCCATCACTGCCCACTCCATCACCATTGCTGCCTCTAACATCTTCTTCCCCATAACTGCCCACTCCCTCCGTAGTGGTGTCTCCATCATTTTGTGTATCACTGCCAGCTGCACCAACTTCCACATCCATAAGGGTGTCTTCCTCTGATGTCAAACCTTGAAGGTTAGCTTCTTTTTCAGCCTCACAATTTACATCTACTTCCACATTCATAATGGTTTCTTCCTCTAATGGCAAACCTTGAATGTTAGCTTCTTTTTAAGCATCACAATTTACATCAACTTGCACATTCATAAGGGTTTCTTCCTCTGTTGTCAAACCTTGGATGTTAGCTTCTATGTCACCATTGCCTTGCACCTCTTTCTCAACTTCAAGTTTTTTCAATTGAGCTTCAATATCCTCCTGTACTTCACCATTTGTTTCTTCAGTTGGTGGAGATAAAGACAACACCATTTCACAGTCATCCAATCCGTGCTTCACATAGATGTCACATTTTCCACAACTACAAGCCAGTTCAATGAGCTGAATTGTTGTTTCATCATTAAACAGGTCGAGAAGCATGTCCATTGGTTCACTTGGTCATTTGTAGAACAGCCTTTGAATGTTTCCATAACTTCCACTTTGCAGATACTTCATTAAATGAGGGAACGAAATCAAATCAGGATTGATTTCAATATATTCTACTTCACCCCCTGCGTACCTGGTTTCAGGAACATTGACAAAGTTCCATCCATGATGAAGTATGAGTTCCACCTTATCAAACATTATGCATCGTCCCGAGCACTGAATGGCGTTTGCGTAAAGCTTCACTGAGAACTGAGATACACTTCTGATTTACCAAGCCCTGAATCGCATATTTCATTGCATTTCAAAATTTGGAATGTTTACAATGACATTAGAAAGCATTAGGGAGGTTAGGGTTTATGTTATAAAATAGTCAACGACGATAAGAGAGCATCAGACTTAGTAGGAAAAAAAATAATTAGAAAAAGAATTTAAACTTGTCCATGTTGGCATCCACATCAGTAGGTAACTGGCTAAACCTGCTGATTCCCGATTAAACAGACGAATTGATCATTTTTGAGCAGTTTGGGGACTTCGTTGAAGCTTTAAGGAGTAGAAGGACTCAATTGACTTTTTGAAAAAGTATGAGGACCTATTTGATAGTTTTCCCTTTATTTTATCATTTATAATAATTTTTTTCCTCTTTTGTTGTCGTATGTGACAAGTAGTTAGCAATTTAATTAGATACGGAATATCAAATATCTCATATTATTCTCTAGATTATAATTGTCTGTTACAATTGGGAGAGTTGCAAAGTTTATAATTGGACAGGGGGATGAAATTGTTTTATAAGAAAAGAATAGGCTTATACAAATACAATACTACCGTTTTTAATTCTACGTAATATCTCATATGAATGTGAGATTTTACATATAAATGTAATTTTTTAATAGGAAATAAAATGTCAAAATAATGTAAAACTTGCTAAAAAGTCACATATACATTATATGTTTTGCTTTTTTTGAAATAATATTTGATAGTTAGACTTAAGGAGTTCACATTCAATAAGGAAAGAATAGATTAATAAAATACAATTTTACCCTTTTTATTTCTACGTAATATCTTATATGAATGTGAAATTTTACATATAAATGTAAAATTTCATATTAAGAAATAAATTTTTTATTGCGTGAATAATTACACATGCTTTATTCTAAAACAATGTCACAATGTTGAAAACAATACCAATACTTACTTTATTCTTACTTTATCAATTCAATATCAACCACATAAATATGAAGGTATGCCTTCTCTTGGAAGCTCTTGTCGTACTTATATTTATATTTTTTTAATAAAACTCTGTAAATTTTCTCATTAATAACCGCACCACCTCCTCATGTCCCAATGTTAGTGGGACAAAGGTACGTAATATACCATAAGCCGACTAACAATTGAGCAGGATAACTTTTCTCTCAAAGATAGTTTCTTCAGGTATTATAAGATAAACTTGCTAACAAAGGAGCGCGAGATATCTCTTTCATATGTAGGTCTTTTAGGTATAAGAACATAAGTAAGCAGACTAACAATTGAGCAGGAGAGTTGTCTCTCTCATATATAGTGCTTTTAGGTATAAGATAAGGCGTCTAAAAATTGAGCGGAATAATTTTCTCTCTGATGTGTAGTTCTTTTAGGTATAAGATAAACTGGTAAAGATAATTTCTCTCTCAAAGATATTGTCTTCAGGTATTAGAAGATAAATTTGCTAACAAATGAGCGCGATATATCTCTTCTCATATCTATTGCTTTTAGAGGTTTTGCTATAAGATAAACCAGCTAACAATTGATTAAGAGAATTTTCTCACTCATATGTAGTGCTTCTATGTATAAGATTTTACGTATAATAAGATAATGTCATAAGGAGACTAACAATTGAACGAGCGAATTTTCCCCATGTGTAGTGCTTTTATTATTATTACTTTTACCCTGCACATATAAATATACACTCCACTACATAATTACTAATTATTTGGAGTGGTACCACACTACAATAGACATGGTTGTTGTTTGCGATGGATTTCATGTGTTCCAAAACGTTGAATCCCCAATCCCAAGGCCCCCCCACACCCCGACCCGGACATGATTTTTGGAAGGATGTAAGTCAGACTCAATCGGTCTAATGATGGTAGGCCTTATACTCGTGCGCATCAGAGGTCTAGCCAGCACGCAAGAGTTGTAGCCTCTACACGACCGCTACGAGTTTCGAACCTTGGTCAATGTTCCAAATTTCGCACCACTGAACCAACTGAGCTACTCGTGCGGGTTTGCGATGGATTTCCTGAACCTGTCTTTTGGTAAGCGTCGTCTCTAGACTCTAGCCTGTGTTTCACCATTTCCATCTTCTATGACCATGATTTTTTTCCACTGGATCATGGATCATGCAGTGAGAACATCGATTTTTAATGGTTGAGGAAGATGGAAAAAATTGGAGAAAATAGAAAAAGTTGGACAAGATGAAAAGGACCGGAGAGGATGAAAGTGGTGAAATGGTGGATAGAGACATGTTTACTGAATGGGACATGCTTCTAATCAAGATAATATATAATTACATATTTTAGTAAAAACTTAATATATACTCCCTCCGTCCCATTGAACTTTGTCAACTTTCCTTTTTTGTTTGTCTCAAAAAACTTTGTCACTTTTTTTTAAAGCAATGTTTTTGTGGCTCAGTTCATTTCTTTCACATCTGCACAAACCTCAACCACACAAATTTTACTATTCTAATTTCTCACCTAACATCAACTTGGCAAAGTTGAGTGGAACGGAGGTAATATAAAACAATCATGGTATCCAAAATGAGAAAAATAAGGGATGTAATTCAATTATTTATTTTTGGACAAAACATGTTGTTTGAAGTTTTCTCATTTTATTTCCTTATTATATTTACATGAGTAATTTATTTAATGCATCCCTAAGACCCTAATCATGTGAAGGTAAATAAAATAAGACTAGTTATATTATGAGAATTGACATGAGTTTAGATAATATATAAATAAATATCCAAAGTAAATGTGTGAATTGTGGCGCTGTTTAGATGAAATATTAATTAGAACCATATATTAGAATTTATAACATAATATTGACGTCATTGCATTTTATAGTTTGAACTTTCATGACAATGCAAAATTCACTTCTCATGGTGTATAATAGTAAAATCTAATGGATGAATTGATTCTAATTTCTCACTGGTCGCATCATATTGAAGTATGTGTGTATATAGACTTTGAACGAACTAAAAAGTTCTTCCCATAATTCCATAAACATGAAAAGTAAGAATAAATCTGATGTATCGAATTTAGGATATAACTAATGATTCTAAATGGATAAAAAAGTGATGACATTTTCGTAAATAAATCATTTGTTTCTTCATTGCAAAAAACGGATTTCGTGAAAACAATATTTATCGTATATGATTGAAAGTGGATAGTAGAAATCGATCTGAAACCAATAGTGCATAAAAATGACAAAAATTGTAGTCATTCACATTTTTTGTGAGAATACCATTTTTATTGGAATCAGACTCTCTCTATACACGTAGTATTTTTTTATGCTGCATATATACTACTCCCTCCTCCGGTCCCGAATCAAATTCACACTTTCCTTTTTGGGTAGGTTAAAAATAAACTTCACACTTCTTCTCCCTTCCTTATTTGACAAATTCTCTACATCAAAACAATGTCAAACAGTGCAAAACAGTGTCAAACGGTGCCAAATAGTATCAGAACAGTGTACTCTACAGTAAAGTCAAATTTATTTCTTTAATTTGTGCGAAATGAAAGTGTGTATTTTATTCGGACCTGAGGAAGTAATAAATGGTTGCCCGTCTAGGACCCCCTTGATCCGTCATTGTTAACCCGCCAAACATGGTGGCACACCATATTATGGGATTCTAACTGGTGTGTTTGAGGCAGAGTAGCCAAGCACAAACACAACGGTCCCAGATTTAGCTCCCACTGCCCCCAAAATTGAAAGCTCTTTTCCATCACACTCCTCAGAAGTCCTTCCCATATGGCCTTCTCAACCCCTGTCTCGCTCTTGTCCCCTAAATCTCCGGACATATGCCCCCATCTCCCTCTTCACGCTCCAGACAACGCCCCTTCCATCTGTCCCAAATTTATGCCCCAACCCCAAATTATTTTAAAAAAATAGATCCAATTTAAATTAACGATTCCCTTTCACTGGTCTTTATATATACCAACAGTTTCCACTACACTTTGTATCAAACTCGTCTCTTTCCATAATCAAAACACAATCTTTGGAGTTGATCCACACGATACACGAAAATGAAAGGTGTATTGGGACATGAGAATGATGTGATGAGTCTCATTGCAACTGAGCTCAGGTTGGGGCTTCCTGGAAGAACTGAAGAAGAGTGTGAACAGGAAGTAGTGTCAACTGCCAAAAGCAACAAGAGGGCCTTTCTAGAATCAGAAGCTGAAGATTGCGAATCCAAAGCCGATCCCTCACCTGTTTCCAAGTAAGTTTTTTTTTTTTTTAAATCTTCATGCAGGCCTTTCAGAACGGATTATTAAATCTTATTTATATGTTTCCAATTGGTGATCTGCCCGGCTAAGACTCTAAAGAAGAAGAAGATCCATGTGTTTCAAGATTGATCTGCCCAAACGAGATACTGATTGATATTATTATTCTTATTATTATAATGCAGGTCACAGATTGTGGGATGGCCTCCTGTGAAATCATACAGGAAAAACACCCTCCAGGCAAAGAAGGGAGATGGGGGAGGTGATGGAAACCAGAATGGGATGTATGTAAAAGTGAGCATGGATGGAGCACCTTACCTTAGAAAGATTGACTTGAAGATGTACGGAGGATATCCCGAACTGCTAAGTGGTTTGGAGAAGATGTTCAAACTCACAATAGGGGATTACTCTGAGAGGGAAGGCTACAAAGGATCTGAATATGCCCCAGCCTATGAAGATAAAGATGGTGACTTGATGCTTATTGGGGATGTTCCTTGGGGGTAAGTTCCATCCATCTATCTTCACTATTGTTGTATTAGTTTACAAAAAAGTTACATTTAGTAATGATATGTTTTGTTATCATTTTGCAGAATGTTCTTGTCATCGTGCAAGAGGTTAAGAATAATGAGAGGATCAGAGGCAAGAGGTTTGGGGTGTGGACAATGAAATAGTACAAATCATGAAGCCCAAAATATGTATGAGTTGGAACTTAAAAAAAAAAAAAAAAACTCATCCAGCCATCCAGCAGAGTATATTGTTTTTTTTGTGTGTTCTCTACACTACAACTCAGAAGTGACAAAAGAGTTTTTCTTTTATGTTGTAATGCCATAACTGTCTATTTTTCTTTGCCTAATTTAAAGCAAGGAAACCATGGAGGTTTCATTATCTATCCTGTAATATTTTTATTAATGTTGGTCCTGTTGTTCTTGTTGAAATCCCCAACGAACAAGAAGTGTATATTATAATTTCAGGCGTAAATGTACAAAGGAGTTTTGATCTCTTTAATCTATTCCCATTGAACAAGTGGTGGAGCCACGGAGGGGGCTCGGCCCTTCTAAATTTTCTAATTGTGTGTGAGTAGACTGTGTACATATATATAATACTAGCATTAAAGAGCTTTGTTCACATCAGTGAAGTAAACGTCCCCCCTAGTTCTCACACCACCATCACAGTATTACCGTGAACTGAAATAAGGGCACCCGGGCCATGGACGAAAATGAAGTGCATTCACCCTATATGTGGTTATACAACCCGTCTCTGATCCTAATGCTCCTACGTTGAGATTATATGTCAATTGTACTGATCTTAGTACTGTCCAAACGTCTTGTACTTGCATGATTCACCTAATTTTACTTGGCTTGAAAAAAAAAAGGTTTACCCAGATAAGAAAGTTCGCTCAAGTTTAGGATGGTTATACAGCAACTATTTAGTTTTGCCAACACATTACACACATCGATCAATAGTGACCATCTTTTTTCCCTGTAGAGAGAGTTCAAGTCATTTGGAAGACAATGGAAACGAGTTATATTTATCCAGGGGCTCACACCCTTTTAATTATGAATTACCTATTCCTTATCACATGAGTAACAACTCTCTTCACCCTTCCCTTCAAGAGTACTTTTAGGATTAAACCGATACAATCATATTTCCAGTGGAGTCTGACTCCAACTAACATCACTGTGAAGAGACAAATTGAACTTGCACCATCATTTCAACAATATTACTTGACATAAAACCAACAAATACTTACATGCACGAGTTCAGTGCTTTTACAATGTCATACAAACAAAACTGTCCCCACGATCCCACTACAGAAAGCCTGAACGGATAGATGATAGACGTATTAAATTTGAACAATAATACGCTCACCTATTTTTGAGCATATCAACAGTAATGGGATTAAGTGCCTTTTGCCTCCTTCAAGACATCATACCTTGTTGGACAAAACAGACCAAAGGCATCTGACTTGGATTGCACTGCACGCGCACTGGAATGGAACGGACGTGAGAGAAGTGACTGTAGAATTTTAAGATACATCATACGACAGGACAAAGAAGGGGGGATTAGGAATTTGCGACTGGCGCGAGATCTCTATGAAGGGGCAGATGGTTCGGGCTTGATGGCCGAGGAGGAATCACCCGATTGGTGGTGCGTAGGAGGGTAGATAAGTGCAGCTAGTGATATCGGCATGATGCAAAGTGATTTTGACTGAAGGTATTGCATAGCCGTCCCAACATCTTCTTCCATCAGCTTAGCCACCTCCCTCTCTGTTTCAACATTGGACCACTTCTCCCAAACGTGCTGGTTAGCTCGCATTTCGCCACTGTCACCCTGTGGAGAAACCAATCTCATCACGAAAATCAAAGGATTGTGATCTTCCATCTTAAAAGCTTGGAGTAGTTTCAAAGCCTTATATATGGGTTTATATTTTTATACTCCGATCAATATGTGATTAAATACTGGAGGATCTATTAGTAAGGGGTTTGAAGGGGCAGGCCCAGCATGACCTATCTGTATTGAAAATAATTATTTTACATGTAATTATTGTATAGCCAATTTTATCTCACATTTACCAAAAATTTCTTTATATACTAGTATACTACTCAGTAATTGCTCGTTGAAAAATGGTACCGACACAGTTACTAAACAATCAACTGTAAATGACTTCATTAAAGAAAAATGTAAAAAACATATTTGTCCAATGGCTATTTAATTAGTACTCCCTCAGTCCCAGCCTACGGTTCTAACTTTCGTTTTTTGGGACGTCCCAACTCAAAGTTCTCATTTCTATTTTAGGAAACAATTAACACTCTTAAATTGACAATTTAATCATCAAGTATTAAAAATAATACATCTATAACATCATAGCTATCATCAATGACCCCATTATATTATAAAACTATTAAAATTATTTCTCAAAATATACTCGAATTACCTTAATTAATTATTGTCTAAATAACTGTGTCATTTTGCAATGATAACCTTTAACTGGGACGGAGGTAGTAATATTTAAAAAAAAATCATACATTATACATGTTGGCTTCCTCAAATTTAGAATATTACTCCATATTTTTAGTATACTTTGAGAAGTATATTTTACTCGTAAATATCTATAAACAATGGAGTATATCGTCCATCCCTTTAGATAATGGGTAGGTGAAAGCTATGAGCAGTTTAGTGATAATAACAAAGCACTGCAGGGACTTTATTTACCTCAACAGACTCTAGTGGAATGTCTGCAACAAGTTGTGCCACTGCACTAGCCCCACCCAACCTACTCATACTCAGTACCTTCAGGCAGGTAAAGGAGAGAAGCATTAGCTGAGTTAAAAGCAGAAATACTAACATTTACTTTTGCAGTTACAATAATGTAACTTGCACTAGCTTACTTTTATGCGTGAGAAATGAACACTATACACTTCCTCAACCTTACGTGATTATTTTCAATTAGAGAGTATTTTAGATGCTGTACAATATCACATGAAAGTATCAAGAATTTCAAAAAATACTAACTGAAAATAATTCTAATTTACGAAAATAAGAGATGAAAATAGTTTTAGTCAAAGCTAGTATCAGTTATAGACTGGCTAAAGTACTAGGTCACTCGTCTGACCAGAGTCACATAACCGGATCTATATAATAAAATTTGAAACAAAAAAAAACTTATAACATGTAAACAATTTACACTAACAAATTGTACTCTGTCCCATTTTTTGTTACCTAAATCATTCACGTAGTCAACAATTCTTGTTTGTTGTGTTAAAATCTATAATAATTTTTGTTATAATATTAAAATCTGCTTTTTGGACCTTATAAACTTCTAGTGTAGTTTTATAATATCTACTTGGTACTTACCTATACCAAAGTACCACAAAACAACTGCACCGAAAGACATAAAACTGTTCAGACCATGTCCTAAAATATTCCAAAAAAAGAAGGTTATAAATTCCATAAATCTACCTAAGAGGTTGGGATCCTAGTAAAAAAATGGTTTATTATCAACACAGTTTTCAGAGAATAAAAACTTCCTCCATCTAAGTGATCTAACCATCTTGAGTTACCGTTACACCTCAAAACTAGTCGGATCCAACCAAGAGGATTGCAAGTATGATCTGGTATGTGGCTCACTCAGACCAATCAGATGACCAGTTCCTGGTCCAACCGAAAGGGGGCAGTCCAGTGCACATTGGCATCCCTGCAAGGCGAGGGTCCGGGGAAGGGACTCAACACAAGGGTATATAGGAGCAAGCCTTCCCTTGTCATTTTGACAAGAGGCTGCTTCCAAGACTTGAACCCGTGAACTCTCAATGACACGGCAGCACCGTAAGTAGTGCGCCAAGGCTCCTCTTCATTAAAAGGAATATTTCAAACTTTTCCCATAAAGTACAAGCAAGGTACACAGATTTTAATTCGAAATATGCATTAACATTTTATGCAATAAATGTTGTTCAATACAGTGAGGAGGAAGGGAGGACCACTTCGGCTGAACATCTCAATATTGGGAGGATAAAATTTAACAGACCGAGAATTATTTGTAAATGTGTGGTATATCCCTTTACCTTGACTTGAAGCCGCAAGAATTTCACATAGTCCAGAATTTCATCCAGCATCGCAGCTCTATCTGTCTGACAACAAAAAGTTTCAAACTTTAACCACAATATTACCTATCTAGAGTGTAGTTTTTGGTTCTTCACACATCCCAAGTAGTGTACATACCTTATTACAGCTTGGAACAAGTTCTTGCAAAGCTTTAATTCTTTCCGATATTCTCTCTCTGCGTAACTGGAAGGAGCCAAAGGACATGCAATCATTTAATTAACAAAGTTTCAAGTACCCTCATTTTTATGTTTTGTTTGGATGAAGGGTTTTGGAGGGAAAGACTTTGGAGGGCTTAGTCATAGAATATTTCTAAAAAATAAAAGGTGATTGAAATGGCATACACACAATCAATGTTAATCTCTCATTTTTTATAAATCTCAATTATATATTATGATATACTGACAGAGACGAAGCCCTCCAAAACCCTCAATCCAAAGAAGCCCTCAATGTATAAGTAACCTCAATTGAAAGCCTGTACATACAGGATGCTTATAAAAAATTTTACCCTCTCAGCAATACTGTGAGGATCTGTGGCCTGCCCTCTCCGTGCTCGAACCCTAGGTCGAACAGCTGGGGGATGTGGAACAGTGACTGCCGTACTATGTGTTGGTTGCCCTTGAAATGACTGCAATGATTTTAGCATCTTTTCAAACCATTATTCCTTAAACTTTTATACACTAGTGGGGGATTTTTTTATATGAAACAAAAGATATCAAGATACTTGTTTCTTAATAAAAGAAAGACAATAGTCTGATAGATAAGGAAAATTTTATCCTTTTGATACTCTGATGTTAAAATCAAGAGTGATTGCCATTAGAGGTATCACAAATAATAACGACCAAAGATGAATAAAATAGATGAATTCTTTTCTCTACTATATGCATCCTAAACAATTCCAAATTTCCAATAACTTCTAACATCATACGAAACTATAATATGGGAAGAGCGAATTTAAGCATTGAAGCAATCCATACATTATTTATTTTATCATTGATGCGAAGTCCATATATATGATTTCCATTGCTATGTTTAGATTAACCTTTAAGACTTATTTGGTTAGGGGATATTGGAGGTGAGGGGAAGATTGATTTTTGTTTTAATAATTTGTCTCCATTTGATAGTTCTAAATTAAGAAATAACTAATCCCTTAGTTCACTATTACTTGCTCCACTTTCCTTTCATGGAAGTTCATTATTAATAGCTCCATTTTCTATTATTGGTCATTTTGCCTACTTTTTAGTCTCTAAACACGTAAATATGCTTACTTTTTCATCTTCTCCTTCTATCTTTTCTCGTGTTTTCATCTCCTTTTTTCTAAACCATTCACAACATGTACACCTTTATGAATACTTTTAAAGAATACTGATTTTATGATTTCAACATAATTGTACAGAATCTATCAGATGGCAATGAAATTCTATGAAAGTAGAATCGGATGAACCGCATAATTTTTAATGAGTCCTCAAACCTAATAATAGATAAAAATGAATAAAACAGGACTAGAAACAGAAAGTACGAAAAGAAAAAACACAATAAAAAATAAAGACGACATCACATGATTGTGTGCAATTAAATTCTTTCTACTTATCACGATTCTATGAAAATATAACTTCTATGATCACTATATTAAACGATTCATGTGGCAGTGTAAATAAGTACATTATTTGAAGCAGTTTCTATGAACAAATATTACTTTTGAATACCTAGATTTATACACCAAGTAGATATCATCAAGCTAGAAAAGGCAAATGATGTATAATACCTGGAAGGAATTTGATACAACATAAAGAAAAATGATACAAGAAAAAAGGTAAATGATCACTAAAGTAGAAAACCTGGAATGGATGAATGAAGAGAGGCGACAAGAAGAGGTGGAAATAGTTGGATGAGTGAAGATTTTGTGTTTAGATTATTTCCTTTACATATCAGGTTTCAAAGGTAAAAAAAATCAATGGAAAGTTTGAAGAGAACAGATTTAAATGGATAAACCCCGTCCTTGGTCTTAATTTCAATGTAGGATCTGCTAGAGCGAGTGAGCGACTAAAATGAAAAGGAGAAGTATATACATCTTTAGTCAAATAATTTCTATACAATTTTTCATTTTCACTTCCTTTCTTATCATCTAAATGTAAGAATTAATTAAAAAATACATATCACCCCTTCCTTCCCTTCCTTCCCTCCCTTCTGACATCCCATAACCAAACAGCCCTAAGGAAACTACCAATCCAGTAAACAATGAAAAACAGGTAAATCAGCATATGTTGGAAACATGAAAGCATCAAACTCTCCCTTATAATTCAAGATTGGTGATCTCCTTCATCCACAGTCCACACAAAGTAAGCATCGACAGTTGATGTCTCAAAATTGAAAAGAGAACAAAAAATAGATCCAATAGTAATGGGAAAAAATGGCCATGTAGGTTTGACTTGAGTTGCCACCTTCCCAAGCCAAGTTCTGATGATTTAAATTTTCCCAAAACTTAAACACTTCCTAACCCAGCTAATCACTCATGCAAACTTCCCTAAAAACATCATGCCATGAGATCATACACTCATGCAATTGAATATAATGAGTAATAAACATGCATACAAAGCTATGGAGTACATATTTACTAAGGCTTGGCCTTGGGGTTTAATGTGAAACTTGTGTGTGTGTGTGTGTGTTTTAGTCTGAATCGGATCAATTACTAATCACACATTTGGACTTAGTTGGTTCGATACTAATTAGACACATTTGAATTTAATTGGCTCAGATTGGTCACATAGCATATTATATTATTATTACTTGTGAATTGATCATGTGTGTTATGTTTAGTATAATTCCATAAACAACCATTTTAAAAGGAAAATTTAGGATTCTTGATTATTTAACCTGGACTTGGTGAAGTGAAGGAACATTATGGCGAAGAGCATGAGTTTGCAAATGCTCCAGCCCAGAATACATATTCCCCAAGTTCACTGCTTCTCTTTCCTGCGAAACAAATGTGAAAAATCGCAACTTTTCAGATTTTTAATTTTAGATTTCTTGAATTTGAACCACTTGTCACGACAATCACATGCTTACAGGCTTCAGAGCAAAACCTCCGGTGTCCCTGACGTCATCTCGGCTGTTATCCAAGCTCAGTCCCAGGGGAAACAAGGGCTGATGGAGTCCACCGGCGGCGGAGCTGAGCTGGGAGACGGTGGAAGCGGTATCCGACGAAGCGCCACCTACATCGGTCACGGAGAGGCCGGCGTAAGAAGGGATAGCAAGTATCTGCTCTAGGAAGTCATCCGCAGCTGAGTACCCCTCATGCTGGTTCGACGCCATGTCAGAGAAGCTCAACTTACAGGGAAGAAGATGATGGCAAGGGAGAGAGTTGAGGCCTCTAAAGTTTGTCACTTTTGTCATCCATGTCGTCTGCTTTTTTAAAGTGTCGTGATCTTTAGAAATATTTTTGACCTGTTCGCCTCGAAGTTTATACTAATATGATTTTCAGCCCCTACTCATTTGAATGATTTAGATTCCCTCATCATTCTAGGAATGAAAAATAGGGGTGGGATCCGTCCGGTCTGGGTCGGGTTTTTGCTAAACCCGAAAATTATCCGGAAGGTCTCGGGTTATGAAAATTAAGGACCGGAACAAAGCCCATTGTATTCGGTCTGAGTCGAGTTTTTGATAGACCAGGTTCAGTCCGGGTTCGGGTGGGGCCAGTTAAAGCTCGAATGTGAAATCTCATCATTGTCTTTTTATATTGGGAAAAGGGGCAAATGAGAAAGAGTAAATAAAAAAACAGCGTAAAGAGAATTATATAAAGTTAGAAAGTGAAGATAGCACAAACGAAAAAACTTTTATTACGGAAGGATATATAATACTCCTTCCTTCCCAAAATGATAGCCCTGTATTTCCTTTTTAGGATGTCCCAAAATGATGTCCTGTTTGGAAAGAAAGATGTGATCCATATCATTTCACTTTATTATACTCAAATCTGAACCATAACTTTTACCTTTTCAACCACTTTATTAAAACTTATGCCCAAAAGAAATGAGACTATCAAATTGGGACGGAGGGAGTAATATTTTAAGAATATATTGAATTCATTAAAGATGATTGTTTTTTATTAGGAATATATTACTAGCTGGAAGTTTCCTTCTAGGAATGTATTTTCCTTTTCTTTGCCATGTACTCATCGGTATTAGCTATATACGTAGCGCCGAGCCTGATAATATACGAATGAACAATTCCTCTTAAACCTTCCTGTTATCAATTCAATCTTGTTATGGTATCAGAGCGTTTAAACAAATCCATGGCTGCCGGTGAGAATGACGAAGTCGGAGGTGCTGGACAAAGCCGGTCAGATAACTCCTCTCTGTTTTATCTTGGGCCACAAGATAGACCAGGTGATTTTATTACTCCGGTACGATTAACTGGCGACAATTATGATTCTTGGGCTAACGCGGTGCGACTGTCCTTGAGAGCACGCCGGAAGTACGTGTTCGTTGATGGCATAATTACGGAACCAGTTGCTCCATGGACGAAGGAGGACTGGTTGACAATACAGTCCATGATCGTTTCGTGGCTTCTTAATACCATCTCGCCTAAGGTCAAGTGCACACTTTCTCAATACGAAGACCCTCGCGTACGGTGGGATGACCTCCAGGAACGTTACTCCATTGTGGATGGTCCGCAAATACACCAGGTGAAGGCCGATCTTGCCAAATGCACTCAAACATGCGGGATGAACGTGGGTACATACTATGCTAAATTAAAAATTGTTTGGGATAAATTAAATAATTATGAACCCATCATCGCGTGTACGTGTGGAAAGTGCAAATGTGATGTAGCGAAGCAGCATGAAAAACGAAGGGAGTTCGAGCGTTTTCATCAATTTTTGATGGGTCTAAATTCTGAATTTTTCGGAAACGTTCGGTCTCAACTCCTCACACAAGTGCCGATGCCCACGTTGAATCGGGCGTACCCGCAAACCACACAAGAGGAGAGGGTTCAGGGAATGAATAACATTGTTGAACCGCAAGAAATATTGGGCTTTGCAGTCCAAACTCACGGACAGAATGCAAAACATGGGGCTAAACCGGACAAGGTGGGTCTTGTGTGCACTTATTGTAAGTATACAGGACATGACGTTACTTCTTGTTTTGAATTAAAAGGATATCCGGAATGGTGGGGCGACCGTCCGCGTGTTGATAGCAAAGGCGCTGGATGAGGAAAAGGGAGTGTGGCTCCTCCCGGGAAAGACCGTGGACGCATCAAACCGGGAGCAAAAGCCCATGCGGCAGTTTCTGAGACATCTGGACGGCATGAGGGGGGCGACTGGAACCTCTACCAGTGCAGCGGCAGACACACCACTCCCTAGCTTCATGCCCGAAAAAAGTGGCAAGCCATGATGGCGGCACTTGCTAATTCACAACCTTCTAGTACGCGAATGACGGGTAAGCATGATCAAAATTCTTGGATAATTGACACAGGTGCTACAAATCATATTTGTAGCGATAAGAATCTTTTATCTAATATGAAACCTATTAATTCATGTTCGGTTGGTTTACCGGACGGCCAAAAGATTCTTGCTACTCATGAAGGTTGTGTTCAGCTTGGTATTGATTTGTGTTTAAAACATGTATTGTTTGTACCGAAAATGAATTGTAATTTACTCTCAGTGACCCAGTTGAGTGATGAGTTGGACTGTTTTGTTCAATTCACTTCTGACATTTGTGTTATACAGGACCGAGCCTCGAAGAAGCTGATTGGAACGGGTGAGAGGAGAATTTTGTGGTGCATGCATTGATAGCGGATGGAGGTACTCAGTCACACCTTGATGTATGGCATAAGCGCATGGGACACCCTTCCGAGAGAGTACTACCTTGGCTTACACCTGTTCGTGGTTTGTCTGGGTCATTTTCTTTACCTTGTGATGTTTGTTTTCATGTCAAACACTCTAGAGACTCTTTTCCTACTAGTATGAATAAATCTAAAGCTATTTTTGAATTGATCCATTGTGATTTGTGGGGTCCGTATAATACGGTCTCTTCTTGTGGTGCGAAATTATTTTTAACTATTGTGGATAATTTCTCTCGTGCGGTTTGGATATATTTTCTTGTTGATAAAAAGGAAGTTATAAAGATGTTTATGTCTTTTATTGCTATGGTGGATCGGCAATTTTCCAAAAGAGTCTCTACTGTCAGAAGTGATAACGGCACCGAATTTAATTGTTTAAAAGATTTTTTTCGTGCTAGCGGGATTATTTTTCAGACGTCATGTGTCGACACACCGCAACAATACGGTCGTGTCGAACGCAAACATCAACACATTTTAAATGTGGCACGAGCTTTGAGATTTCAAGCTCATCTTCCTTTAACTTTTTGGGGAGAATGTGTTTTAACCGCCGCTCATCCCATTAATTGAACCCCCTCTTCCGTCATTAATTTCAAGACTCCTTATGAAGTACTTTTTCGCCAACCATCGTGCTATAAATCCTTGAAAGTATTTGGATGCCTGTGTTACGCATATAATCTGAGGTCCAGGGGCGACGAGTTTGCTAGCAGAAGCCGGAAATGCGTTTTTGTTGGCTATGTTTTTGGGAAGAAAGGTTGGCATTTATATGATTTGGAAACTCAAGAATTTTTTGTCTCTCGTGATGTGAAGTTTTTTGAGGATTAGTTCCTGCTTGCTAGTCCACTTCCGTTAGAAGAGTCCCCGCCGGCCGAGACTGGCATTTTATTTGAGGATCCACTGGTCATAACTACAACAGTTCCAACTCCATCGTTAGTCCCTGACCAGGACAGTTCTAATGTTGTGGGGTCGGCCAGTTCCTCTACAACGGATGCGCACGACACGTCTCTTATTTTGGGTCGAGGACAGAGGGTTAAACACCCTTCAGTTCGCTTGCAAGATTATGTGACTCACATCGTGATTAAAGATAGTCCCATTTCTCCCTCTCCATCCTCTCCTACTTCTTCAGGTACTCCTTTTCCTATATCGCATTATGTTAATTGTGATAATTTTTCTGCACCACATCGGGTATTTCTTGCAGCAATTTCCTCAAGCATCGAACCTCGGTCTTTTAAGGAAGTTGTTTCTAGCCCGGAATGGCGTAAGGCCATGAACTCAGAAATTCAAGTTCTTGAACGAAATATCACTTGGTCTCTTGTCTCTCTCCCTCCTGGAAAGCGCGTTTTGGGGTGTCATTGGGTCTACAAAATTAAATATCAGTCCGACGGCACCGTGGAACGTTTCAAAGCCCGCTTAGTTATTTTTGGGAACCGCCAAGTTGCTGGTCTTGATTATGATGAAACATTTTCCCTAGTAGCAAAGATGGTCACTGTGCGAGCTTTTCTTGCTATTGCGGGGTGTAAAAATTGGGAACTCCATCAGATGGATGTTCATAATGCCTTTTTTCATGGTGATCTTAACGAAGAGGTGTATATGAAACTGGCTCCGGGATATAAATCCTCTAGTCCCTCTCTGCTTTGTAAACTTCATAAATCCCTGTATGGGTTAAAACAAGCTCCTTGGTGTTGGTTTGCCAAGCTTGTTACGGCCCTCAAAGCATATGGGTTTCTTCAGTCCTTCTCGGACTACTCTTTGTTCACCCATACCCGGGGTGACATCCAGCTGAATGTACTTGTTTATGTTGATGATCTTATTATCTCTGGAAACGATTCTGCCGCCATCAGTTCCTTCAAAAGTTATCTCACTAAATGCTTTCATATGAAAGATCTTGGCAAACTAAAATATTTTTTGGGCATTCAGGTAGCTCGGAGCTCATCAGGCATTTTTCTTACTCAGCGTAAATACGCCTTGGAAATTATTACTGAGACGGGCCTACTAGGGGCGAAACCAGCCTCCTTTCCTATTGAACAAAATCATAGTCTGGCCCATGCATCGGGTCCCCTACTTGCTGATTCTGAGACGTATCGTCGTCTGGTGGGTCGTCTAATCTACTTAGCAGTTACTAGACCAGATCTTGCTTATTCTGTTCATATATTGTCTCAGTTTATGCAAAATCCGTGGGATGAACATTGGAATGCTGCCCTTCTCGTAGTGCGTTACCTCAAAGGATCTCCGGGTCAAGGTATTCTCCAAAGTGGTGATAGTGATCTTACTCTTACGGGATGGTGTGATTCAGATTGGGTTGCATGCCCCCTTACTCGTAGATCTCTTTCCACTTTGTAAGGAATAAATGTAATTAGATTTTGATGATGCTAGGTTGATTAGAATTTGAAAGTACCCCAATAGAAATTTTGTGTTAGAATTTGTCTTTGTATGTACTAGAATAGTCGACATGCCAGAAACCCTCCTGGTCTTCCTTATCAGAACTTCTACCAGAGTTACTCCCAGAGTTGCTCTCCAGAGAAGCCATCAGAGTTGGATACCAGAGTTGGCATCAGAAGCTACCATCAGAGTTCTGATCAGAAAACCTCATC